TTAATTTTTGTATTTTTAGTAGAGATGAGGTTTCACCATGTTGGCCAGGATGGTCTCAATCTCCTGACCTCATGATCCACCTGCCTTGGCCTCCCAAAGTGCTGGGATTACAGGTGCGAGCCACCGCGCCAGGCCAGAAAAGACATTTGGAAGCTTTGCCTTGGTCTTGGCAGGGGACTTGGGGGTGACAGCATATATATGTGCATGAAGTGGTTCCCTGTCTAAGTACCAATTACTACTAGCACTCCCCTTTCTCCCCTCACTGGGTCATGGCTATAATAGTAGAAGCTAGGGATGAGCTGGCAGGGTTGATTTCCACACAGTCTCTGTGAAGAAGAGAAAGAGCCAGGGAAGATGTGGCAGATGATGGTGACATGGCTGAAGAGGCGAGGACAGGGGATTCGGGGGCCTGGGGCAGCTCTGTGGACCCAATCCTAGCAGCTATTGAGACAAGGTATGTACAAATGGGATCAGAATGAACTGTCAGAGGATGAGGGTTCAGGACCTGAGGTTCACGTTGTGCGCAGCATCTGAGTGTGCTGCTGCTGCGTGGGTCAGCCAGTTAGAGCCACGTTTCCGAGTGATGCTCTGTTCTCCTGCATGCTCTGTTCTCCTGCAGCCAGTCCTTCCCCCTGCCTCCCACATTCTTGATGAGCTCTGTGACTCAGCTGCTTCTCGGGACATCTGAGCAGCTGCTTTTTTTTCTAGGGATAGATCCGCAGTCAAGAGATGTTGTAACCTGAATGCTTATCTTTCCCATGGGTCTGTGAGGACCCTCTCCCACCTTGAGGCTCCTGAAACAAAATTGGACTTTGGGAAGATTGTAGAAAGAGTGCCTTCTTTAGCCCCTGACTTCAGAAAAAGACAGGCATGACCAGAGGCGGTGGCTCATGACTGTAACCCCAACACTTTCGGAGGCCGAGGTGGAGGGATCACCTGAGGTCAGGAGTTCGAGACCAGCCTGGCCAATGTGACAAAACCCATCTCTACTAAAAATACAAAAATTAGCTGGGCGTGGTGGCATGCACCTGTAATCCTAGCTACTCAGGACACTGAGGCAGGACAATCACTTGAACCTGGGGACGCGAAGGTTGCAGTGAGCCCAGATTGTGCCACTGCCCTCCAGTCTGGACAACAGAGCGAGACTCCATCTCAAAAAGAAAAAAAGAGAAAAAGACAGGCATGATGGATCCTGCAGGCTGAAAGGAGAAATTTGAAAGTTGTACACTGTGCTTACTGACTGGGCTCAGAGACAGCTTTGCTCTTCTACGGCAGCTTGTGTATTTCCTGTGATGCCTCAGGAGTAGTGATAGTTCTTGCAGCCCCTGCAAATTCTGTCTCTGTGACTGGTTGGGCATCAAGGGGGTTTGCCTGGTTTTCTTGGGGGAGCTGGGGATCATTCTGAACAGGCAGCTCTGTACCCTTCCAGAAGGCAGACCCAGCCCTTCTGGTGGGACTCCTGTTTCCCCATCACCCCGGGGAGCTGTGACTTCTCTCCAGGATATGCTCCTCCGCCCCAGCCAGCGCCAGATCGCTTCCCTTGCTGCCTTTGACCCAGTGTCTGCGGCAGGACTTCACGTTCCTCCCGTGGTGTCTGTTCCTCATTCTTGCCTGTGCCTGTCTGTATCCTGTTTCTGAATGCAAACTTGCTCCATGGTGAAACTGGAGCTGGGATGGAAGTGTTGTTCGAGGAGGCACTGGGTCTGTCCACAGGTGCTATATGGAAGGATGCTGCTTTGGGCAGGGGTGTGCCTCCCCTGGCCTCTGCTGTGCGGCAAGACGTCCTTCTTCTCTGCCGTATTTCCCAAACCTCCTCTGCCCACTGCTGATCCTTCTCACCACCTCTTTTATGGCAGCTCCTCTGACTTCTTCCATAGCTGTGCTGTTTCACCTCTGCCCTGCTTCTCCCCTGCTTTGCTCTTTATCCTTTCACAGTCAGTGGCTGTGGGATCCCCAGACACGTCTCCCTGATGTCTTTGTCTTCTGTCCCCTGACCTCATCTGTATCAAGGGATTCACGGGCCACTGGTATCCATGTATGTGTTTGGGGGACATTTGTTCCTAGGGGCTGCCTCTCAGCACTGCCCCTTGTGGGGGTGGGAGAGACCACCACCAATTGCCACCAATTGCCACACCACCAGTTGCCATCCTTACTTAGAATTGGCCTGATAGATCTGAATCTGCCTGGTGTCACCCTGTGGGAGGGTGTCTCCCTCTGGACCTGCAGGCCTCGGGGTTAGGACTTCCACACAGGAATTTTGAGGACATAATTCAGCCCACAACAGTGACAGCAAAGTGACATAAGAGTTGCTGGGCCAGGGCTGTGACCCTACCTCAAGGATCCAGAAACCTCTTGCCTTTTAATCTCTTAGTATCTTCATGGAGCTGCAGAGGCTGTCCATTGTGGCTATTAAGCCACAAATTCCTGGCAGAATTTTCAAAAAATTTTTTAATGTTTAATTTTTGTGGGTACATAATATGTGTCTATATTTATGGGGTACATGAGATGTTTTGATACAGGCTTACAGCATGTGACAGTCACTTCATGGAAGATGGGGTATTCATCCCTCAAACGTTTATCCTTTGTGATACAAACTGTCCAGTTACACTCTTTTAGTTTTTATTTTATTTTATTTTATTGAGATAGAGTTTTGCTCTTGTTGCCCAGGCTGGAGTGCAATGGCGTGATCTTGGTTCACTGCAACGTTTGCCTCCTGGGTTTAAGAGATTCTCCTACCTCAGCCTCCAGGACATCTGGGATTACAAGCATGTGCCACTATACCCAGCTAATTTTTTAATATATATACATACATATATATACAAAATATATATATTTTACTATACATATATATATATATATTTTTAAATTAGCAATAATTGCGCCTCGGATAAACCTCATTGGCTACGATACTGCCACTGCACAAAGCTATTTTTTAAATTTTTAATAGAGACGGAGTTGCACCTTGTTGCCCAAGCTGGTCTCGAACCCCTGACCTCAAGGGATCCACCCGCCTCGGGCTCCCAAAGTGCTGGGATTATAGGCATCAGCCACCACGTCCAGTCTCTTTTAATTATTTTAAAATGTACAATTAAATTATTATTGACTATAGTTATTCTGTTGTACTATCAAATAGTAGGTCTTATTCATTCTTTTGAACTTTTTTTGTAGCCATTAACTATCCCTGCCTCCTCCCCAGCCCACTACTTTTCCCAGCCTTTGGTAACCATCCTTCTACTGTCTCCATGAGTTCAATTGATTTGATTTTTGGATCCCACAAATGAGTGAGAACATGAGCTGTCTGTCTTTCGGTGGCTGGCTTCTTTCACACTTAACATAATGATCCCCAGTTCCATCCATGATGCCACAAATGCCAGGATCTTATTCTTTATTATGGCTGAATGGTACTCCATTATATATATAAGCCACATTTTCTTTATCCATTTATCTGTTGATGGCCACTTAGGTTGCTTGCAAATCTTGGCTATTGAGAACAGAGCTGCAACAGACATAGGAATGCAGATATACCTCTTCGATAGACTGATTTTGTTTCTTTGGGTATATATCCAGCACTGGGATTGCTGGATCATATGGTAGATCTATTTTTAGTTTTTTGAGGAACCTCCAACTGTTCTACAGAGTGGTTGTACTAATTTGTATTCCCACCAACAGCGTACAGAGGTTCTCTTTTCTCCTTATCCTCACCAGCATTTGTTGTTACCTGCCTTTTGGACAAAAGCCATTGTAACTGAGGTGAGATGATATCTCATTGTAGTTTTGATTTGCATTTCTCTGATGATCAGTGATGTCAAGCGCCTTTTCATATGCCTGTTTGCCATTTGTATGTGTTTTTCTTGAGAAATGTTTATTCATATCTTTTGTCTATTTTTAAGTTATATTACTAGATTTTTTTCCTATAGAGTTATTAGAGCGCTTTATATATTCTGGTTATTGATCCCTTGTCAGATGGGTAATTTGCAGATTTTCTCTCATTCTCTGGGTTTCCCCTTCACTTTGTTGATTGTTTCCTTTGCTGTGCGAAGCTTTTTAACTTGAAGTGATCCTACCTGTCCATGTTTGCTTTGGTTGCCCGTGCTTGTGGGGTATTGTTCAAGAGCCTGGCAGAATTTTATCCAGATGTTTGAATTGGAGTTTACATCCTTTCTGAGATAGTTTCTTCCATGTATAAAATTGAGTTGTGAGCCACTTCACAAGGTTTTATGCAGAGCAATGATAATAGCTGCTGTTGAGGAAGTACTTACTATATGCATACCATGTAATTCTCAGCCCAAGCCTTATGAGGTGTACTTTTTTTTGAGGGGGGCGGAGGTGGACTCTTGTTCTGTCACCCAGGCTGGAGTGCAGTGGCACAACTCACTGCAACCTCTGCCTTCTGGGTTCAAGCAGTTCTCCTGCCTCAGCCTCCTGAGTAACTGGGACAACAGGCACACACCATTGCCTTGCCCAGCTTATTTTTTCTGTTTTAGTAGAGACGGGGTTTCACCATGTTGCCCAGGCTGGTCTTGAACTCCTGAGCTCAGGCAATTTGCCCGCCTTGGTGTCCTGAGGTGTTAGGATTACAGGCGTGAGCCACCATGCTGGGCCCGAGGTGTACTATTATTAACCCTGTTTTACAGATGCAGAAGCTGAGGCACGTGAAGGTTAAATAATTGGTGGTCATACAGTTAACAAGTGTCCAGAACTGGAATTTGAATGCAGGCTGCTGATCTAAAGTTTGAGCTTATCTCCTCTATGGATGTAAAGTGCCCAATGCTATCCTGGGCACATAGAGCCTCGGAAAAGTGCATGGAATACGTGTGAATGCATTTTTATGGTTGTTTAATATTGAGAGTGGTTTCCAGGGTTTGTGGTGGAACATTTGGTGCCCCACGGAAGGAAGCTGGTGAGAGAGTCTCAGTTCAACTTCTGGGAAAGATTCCCGCAGGTCTTGAGGCAGAGCTGCTTTATCTTCGTTCTCATCAGCACCTCCCTCCTGCACGCAGGGTGATGTGAGCAGAGCCCAGGAATGCCTTATGTGGATCGGCAGAACCGAATCTGTGGGTTTCTGGACATCGAGGAGCATGAGAACAGCGGCAAGTTTCTGCGGAGGTACTTCATTCTGGACACCCAGGCCAACTGCCTCCTCTGGTACATGGACAACCCCCAGGTGAGATTCTCGGGTCAATGGGAAGAGGTGGGGTGACTGGGTGCCCATCACTGCGCCAGAGGAATACACACGGGGTTAGCCTCCAGCCCTAGGCTCATGAGTAACACAACCTGAGGATCAGCAGGGAGGGGTCAGCTCTACAACACACACACACACACACACAAACACACACACACACACACACGAACATTCATGTGCACATACACCACACACATTCCCCATACACACATACCACACACACACACGTGAACATTCATGCACACATACACCACACACACACCCCATACACACATGCCACACAGATACACAGACACACACATAGGAACATTCATGCACACATGTACCACACACACCCCATACACACATACCACACACACATGTGAACATTCATGCACAACACCCATACACAGGCACACACACACACATGAACATTCATGCACACATGCACCACACACATACCCCATACACACATACCACACAGACACACACACCTCATACACATGCATCTCATGCACACACACCACACATACCATACAAACATCACACATACACACATGCACACACCATATACACACTACACAGGCACATGCATACACCGCATGCACATACCACACATGACACACACCATACACACATATATACACATACATATGCAGGCATGCACATACATACACCCTATACACACACATCACAACCATACACACACCAGACAAACCATACACACACACACACCCATACACACACACCACACCCTCATACACACACACCACAACACACACAGAGACACACACACACACACCCATACACGCACACACACCGACACATACCACATGCGCATATACCCCATGTACACACAGACACATACATGCACACACACAGACATACCATAGGAATACACACATACACACACATACCATACACACCACACACACACGCAGAAACCCATCTCAGATCTTAGCTTGGAGAGAAGGACACTCTCCTGACCCTGGCATCTGGTGTCTGCTCTCTTGCATGGAGGCCAGCCAGGATCTGCCTGTGAGATCCAAGTCCTGCATCCAGGCTCCAAGGCATGGCTTGTTTCCTGTCACTTCTCTCTAGGGCTGTGGCCTGTGGCTGCTCCTGCTCTTCTAGTCTGGGGGCCCCTCCCCAGCAGAGAATGTGACCTGCTTCCCTGAGCCGGACGCACGTTGGACTTCTTTGGTCTCCTGACTCAGGAAGTCCTAGAGTCCTGGATTGGAGGTGCCCTTGGAGGTTACCCAGTTTTGCTTCCTCATGGTGCAGATGAGAAGAGAGCCTCAGACACTGCACTGGTTGTAGTCAAGGACGTGGCCAGAATTAGGTGACTTGCTGAGCATCTTGCAGAGGTCAGGCACAAAGATGGGGGCTACCTACCTTTGATTACTATGTCTGGGAGTCCCTGGAGTCATCTCCGCTCTGGGAACAAGTTGCTTCACCCTGATTTGGGATCTCAAGGCTTTTCTTATTCTGGCCCTGAGTGCTGCTAGCTCTTTCCCTCCCCCACCCTTGAGCAATTTGGTGGAATGGGCCTGCAAACACTGGCATGGCCTCTGAACAGCAAGATCATAGGTTGTGGCTGTGTTGGGATGTAGAGGGGTGTGAGGTCTGGGATTTGGCTTTGGTTCTGAGGTTTGGGAAGAGGAAATTCTGAATGTCCCGGGGATGGAGTTGTGCTTTAAGATGTATTGTAGAAAACGAGTATGTGAATCTCTAGGTCACTGTCCAGAGACTAATCATCTAGTGGCTGTGGGCATTTGAGAAAGACAGTATAGATGCGGAAAACATACTCAGAAAGTCAGCTGCTGCTAATTGCCTTCTCCAGGAAAGATTAACCCTAAGTGTGACTGAGCCCTGTGTTTCACCCTGCAGCCCTGATAAACCTGTTGCTTATTTTCATTTGAAGTGCTGAGTGTTCAGAATAAACCCTTTCTAGGCACACTGTGACACCCTCAGCTCAGCCTGGAATGCTGCTATTTGTCATGTAATGGGCCTAGTTTGCCTTCAGGCCCTGCGATATCATTTTCCCTTCCTTTGCTCTTTTCTCTTTTTTTTGAGACAGAGACTCACTCTGTCACCCAGGCTGGAGTGCAGTGGAACGATCTTGGCCCACTGCAACTTCTGCTTCCTGGATTCAAGTGATTCTCCTGCCTCAGCCTCCTGAGTAACTGGGATTACTAGCACGTACTATCGTGCCCAGCTAATTTTTGTTATTTTTGGTAGAGACTGGGTTTTACCATGTTGGCCAGGCTGGTCTTGAACACCTGACCTCAAATGATTTGCCAAAGTGCTGGGATTATAGGCTTGACCACCATGCCCAGCCTTTTTTTTTTTTTTTAATTTGGCGTCTTAGTTGCCCAGGCTGGATTGCAATGATGCAGTCATAGCTCACTGCAGCCTCAAACTCCTGGGCTCAAGGGATCCTCCCACCTCAGCCTCCCATGTAGCTGGGACTACAGGTATGTGCCACCACACTGGGCTAATTATTTTTATTTTTTGTAGAGATTCGGGGTGGGGGGTTCTTACTATGTTGACCAGGCTGGTCTCAAACTCCTGGTTTCAAGTAATGCTCCTACTTTGGCCGGAGTTAAGTCTTTGTTGCCAGTAGACTTGGCTTTGGGCACACCAGAGATGAGCCCTGGGTAACTTATGGGTCTTCAAATTCGTTCTTCATTCTCCTTCTTTGTGTACTTCCTCCCACTCACCTGCCATCTGAGCACAAGTCATTCGAATGGATTTTTGTCTTGATTTACCTGCTTCATGCCATGCTTTCCCACTACGGCTCTGCTTCACTCAAATTGACTTGCTTGGGGAACCCTATCTGGGTGTTGCCAGCTGCCTCCCTGGAGAGTTGGATCTTTCCTCATACCATGGGTCACAGACTGAGACTTGTGCTGTCAGCGGCAAATCACCCAGGACCACAGTGACACCGTCTTGGAACTTGAATATTGACAGTTGTTAGGATTCCCCTCACTCTGATTTGATTGTCGCTGGGGACCAGAACCTGCGCTAAGCCTAGATGCTGTGCCTCGACTGCCTTTTAGACTCTCTGGGGTCAGCCTCCGTAGCAGGTTCCCCCAGCCAGGTCAGGCCCTTACTCTTTCCTGCCAGCTGAGATCTCAGAGTGTTTTGTGGTAGAAGCTTCTTCGAGTTTGAATTACCAGGTAGAACTCACTAGTGGCCCACTACTGGGGATTCTCTACGTTTTCCCGGGAAGCAGTAGAGCTTACCTGGCTTGGCATATTCTTGAAAAAGGAGAGTCTTGCTATGATACCAAAATAGTTCAGGACATTTTACTTCTTCTGTGGTTAGGTTATTTCTTTGCCGTGTGAATGGCCAAACAGCCACTCCAGATTTAAATGTGGGTGTTTCAGGTAAGTTATAAAATGGTATTAGTGAGCATTTATTACTATGTGCCAAGCACACTTCATTGGGTTTTTATTTCATTCTGACAACAAGTCTAATTGGTAGGTATTATTGTTCTCATTCTGAAGATGAGGTAGGTGAGGCTGGCAGGGGAAGAATTTGCCTGTGGTTACATGATAAGAAAGTGGCACAGCTGAGATTCTAACCCTGGCAGTCTAACGCTAGTGCCCCTGCTATTATTGCTGATAATGAGACAGGCATCTAAGGGTGGCTTGGGAGAACTCAGTTTCTGATTAAGAAAGAGAAACCTGAGGACTCTCAGGGCTGGGAGGTCCTAGAAGGTAGGGCACTCATGTGGCTTAGTTTTTGATCATAGTGTCCAGCATTTAATAAATATGTGTTCACTGAATGAATGAATGAATGAATGAACTAAAGAGGGCCGGGGAAGGAAGTGGTTAGAAGTCAGGTCCTTAGGGAATGTGGAGTGCCCAACATTGCTTTCCTGAGTCTGGGGATAGGACCAAAATGTAATGGAAGCTCTATAGAAAGAGGCATCCTGGGGATTTTGATCTGGGGGATTTGGATCCATTCTTACGAAGAGAGGCATTGAGAACCATGTGTGGTCGTTGAACATCTTTATGTGATAGGAAAAAGGAGACCCCTGATAATGTTTTCTTAGTTGTTTACTAGGCAGTAATAAGCAGAAGATTTTTGGACCCAGGTCTCCGATCTTTGTGTGTTGAAGCCCCCTGGTTATCTGGCGTTCACTGAGCCTAAATCTGCTACTGCTGCTGCTACTTCTGTTATTACTAATTGCAACTTATATTTACTAAGTGGTTGTCATGTACCAGCCATGGTATGAAATGCTTTGAACCTCTCAATGATCCCGGGGCCCAGGGTCTGCTGTCCCTCTTTGCTCCTGGTTGCGCAGGTGGTAAACGCAGAGCTGGAGCCAGGTCCACCTGACTCGGGTGTGCAGACTCCCTTTGTCTGTCTCCCCTACTGACGTCTGTGCTCAGCCCTGTGCAAGGTCCTATAGATGATGTGGAAAATGAGGCCTTTGCCACCAGGACGCTTCAGGCTTTGTTGCAGAGAGGAAAACAACACACAGAAAACCATGGTGCTAATAATCCTGGCATATCATTATAACAGGGTGGCATGTTATTAAGTGCCAGTGTCAATGCCTGGATGCCAGTATTTGGGATGAAAGAGAAGGGGTTGCCATTTTCCTTTGCCGCCACCCGGAAGGGAACGATGTAAGGCTTGGAGTCTCATATGGAAAGTTCTCAGGCTGGGGAGATAGGAGATAAAGGTTGCAATCTTGGCTCTGCCAATAAGTTGATTTACATCTTAGGCAAGTCATTTATCCTGTGGAGTGTGGGCACTCTAGGTGATCCTTCCACCACCACACCAGGCTAATTTTTGTGTTTTAGTAGAGATGGGGTTTCACCACGTTGGTCAGGCTGGTCTCCAGCTTCTGACCTTAAATGATCTGACCGCCTCGGCCTCCCAAAGTGCTGGGATTACAGGCATGAGCCACCTGGCCGATTCTCTAGGTGATCCTTAACTTGCCTTTTATCCCGTCATTTCCTGAGAACAGGAGATCCTGGAGTTCAATA